TTGGAATGGGACCATGTGTCCTGTAAGCTCATTCCTGAATGCAAGTCACCTGAAATCAGCTTGAGTAGTTTTAGCCAGACACAGCCCTGAGTCCGCAGAATTACCAAACCCACGCCCCTCTTTGTCTTATTTGTGCTGGTGCCCTTTCCCGCCTGGGTCGTGGACACCTGCAGTTCCATCAAGGGGAGCAATGCTGGAAGCCGTGGGGCAGCAAAGCTTCAGGCATCATTACTGGTGTGTTGTCTGACCCTGCTCTGAGCAGGTAACATTGCTGGCAGCTTGACTGCTGGCAACGCTCTGCCTAGGCAGTACCAGTGACCCGAGTGGCACTAACTTCTGCAGACTTCATTTTTTAATAAGCAAATACTGTTCAATAATGTTTCTGTGGCATCAGTGGACCACAAGATGGCAGTGCTCTTCTTGTGCACAGGACCCTTGGGATAGAGGGACCTGGACTATCCCTTATCCTCCACCAAGAGGGAGCTGAACTCTGAGCACACCGGAGTCATAGGAGTTGCATTGTGTTAAGAGACTTTTCCCTGTGAGACAAGTCTGGAAAGTCTGTTGTGTTAATGGTGTTTCCTTTGCAGGGTCTAGAGTCTTTTTATTGAAGCACCAGAACTATGCACAATTCAGAGGAAGATATGGAGCTCATCTATCCCGCAGACCACTCTCAATTAGCACTCCATCCTTAACCAAGCCTTGTATGTTGCAGTTTCTCCTGCCTCTACAGCCCAATCCTTAGCTCTGTGCTGATAAAGCCAGTGTCCATCAGAATTAGTATGGTTGGGATGCCACAGATGCAGCCCTGAGGCCAGTTCTTTGGTCAGAACCCTTGTCCCTGTGTGTCATTGTTGGTGGGACCAAAAAAAAAAAAGTTTGATTTTTTTGTATGTCCCCAGAGTGGAGGAGCTTAAATGGACTAATTGGAACAAGGAGCTGGGAGTCCTCAAGGAAGATCCTGGGAACACCAGAAGCTTGGAAAGAAGCCCTGTAGGTAAGTCACGCCATGGCTTGCTTGTCTGTGATGGGTCACGTCACGTATTGGGGAGGATTTACTTCTATCGGAAATACCTACACCATAAAGCTCCAACCTCTGAAGTGTCCTGCAGCAACGGTGCTTTGTTGTGATTTGGCCAGATCCAACAGTCTGAGTAGGTTTTCACCTTTTCAGTACTTGGATGAGACTAAAATCCAGGCTCTGCATGGCAGATGAAGTAAGGGCCACTCTTCCTTTCAAGTCAGAACTCAGCCAGTGGCCCAGGGAGTAATGTCTTTAGCAGAAAATGTCTGTCAGCCCTCGTGGCACCTGCAGCCAGAATCAGGGTGGTAACCTTGGCAACCTGATCCAATTGCACCTTGTAATCATGTTCTGCCTCCCTAACCTTCCTCTGGAGTTTCAGGTAGGCCTGTTCTTCCTCCTCACTTCCCACTCTTAACGCTTGTGTGGTTAAGCAGCTCAATGTGGAAAATGGTGATTTCTCCCTTTCAGGAGAAATATGTTGTTTGCTTAACCTGGGTGGGATCTTACTTCGGAATTGGACCAAACCTTTGACCCTCTAGCTGTGGTCAGTTTTCCATTGCTGGCATTGAGAGAGCAGGGCCAAGAGGCTTACAGCAGTGCTAACCAAGGGCTGCCATTGTTATATTACAGAAGACAGACTGTGGAGCTGGATGCTACGGGCACGATCCAGAACACCTGCTCGGGAGGACCAGTTTCTATTACAACCTATCGATCCATGACTGAGACGATGCTTCTAGAAGGACCAGTCAGGAGGCTGTAACAGGGTTTAGGGTTACAGCATGCCCCATATCTGCAACAGAATTATTTCTTGCTATAGGGCTCCTAATAGCCAGATGGAGGAACCTGAAGAACGATCAGTATTAACATGCATCTCCTCAAAAACTGTGGTTCAGCTTGTGGCTTTGAAATATTTTTATGCAAATGAAGTATTTCCTCTAAAAAAGACATTTCTGCCTGGCATTTTTGTGGCACAGTGCTTTAAAAAGTCCAGGGGGGTGTGTGTGTGTGTGGGACAGTGAGATTTGGGTTGTACATCTTAGAGCCCAGGCAACTTTGTGGTTTGAAATGTCTCTTGAGAGGTACAGATTAAAATAACAGTTGGGCCAAATCATCCCATGATGCTTTTGAGGCAGATAATTCTATGTGTGTGCTGTTTGCCATCTGTAGATCTTACAGACAAGACCTTTCTAACCACAGGCTGGCTTTTGATGCCACAGAACCTTTCGTGAGAGGAGGTGTTTGCCCATGTTTTGTGGCCAAAAATGATTTCCCTCCCAGTGTTACACAGCGTGCAGCATGTACTTGGCTTCCACCCTTTGCCCCAGAGGTGGTTGCATTGCAGCTGGTCTATGTCTGAACTGCTTTGGGATGAAAGGCTTGATGGAGGAATAAAATATGGTTTGAGTTTGACTGACTGCATGAGTTTGTGCAGGATAATGGTTGTTGGTTTGGGGGTGACATGGAAGGCTGCACCATTGAGCTCTGTGCAACAGCCTCTGCTTCAGCAAAGACTGTATCTGTAAGCAGCTGGATAGAATTGGGACCATCCACCTGAGTCTGACATGAAGGTGGCAGAATCACTTGAGGAGATCATGTGCTTTGATAATATCTTGGCTCATGGAAACTACAAAGTAGAAATGTGAATTTCTGATACCTGGCTGCTCTGTCTCTTCAAAGGGCAGCACCTGAGCTTTGCACATGGAGCTCACTAGAGCCAGACGGACGAGTGCGAGCTGCCCTACATTCATCACATTCAACAGCTTCCTGTCTCAGTGGGCTTTCTGCCTTGCCCCGCATAGTTACAACATCAACATAACTTTGCACGTGCAAAGGTGCTGTAGAATTCTGCTGGAGAGCACGAAAAGATAACGATGGCTCTGCTTAGTGACCTATATTAAAAAAAAGTTGTAACTCGAAAAGTTTCCATGCAGCCCTAGTGCATGAGGTGTGTTTCACTGGAAGAGTTTGTACCTGGAAATGTTTCTGGAGTGGCACACTCCCTAGTCTGAAACCTAGAGGCGTGGAAGGCGTGTGGTACGCTCTGAAGTAGGGTTGAAGTGCATGGGCAGAGCTAATGACCTGTAACATGTCCAGCTCAATTCAAGCCTAGTGGTCCTTTGCTGTCATGAGTGCTGCTGTACAACAGAGGGTGACCTCGGGCTTGTTCACGCAAGAATCTTCAAGGGCTAAGAACCAGTATCCTGGTTTCTGGTGTGTCTTTGATGAGAGGAAGTAGTCAGCAGTGATGCCCAAAAAAGCATTTTAATGTTAAATCTGGGGGAAGAACTCCCCCACTGAGACAAAGCACAAGGAAATCATTAGGATCGTTGGCAGAAGAGAAGCGACCATTGCTGCTGTTGTCTCATGTTACTGTAGTGCCTACGAGATCTAGTTACAGACCAGGCACAAAACAAAAAAAAGATCCCTGCCCCAAATAGGTAACCGTCTAACTATAAGACAAAAGACAAGAGTTGGAGACAGACGGACAGAAGACAGAAGTCAGGGCACCCAGAGCCTTACCATCGTCCAGGTTCTGGCATCTCTCATGGAAAAGGAGAGTTGGAAGGCATTATTATAATCCCTCCATCCGGGGTCAGGCGTGAGCAGGTGTATGCAATTTCTTCCTGAAGTACTTTGTACATTTCTTTCTTTTCTGATTCCTTGCAGTCTACGCATCAAGCTGTTACTCCAAGGAGGCCAAACACATATACACGTACAGTATGTCACACTGGGAGAAGCAATCTTTTCTTTAACTTAAAGCATTCTTTGCAGTCATCACGGTGTCAAGAGCCTGATCGGATTAAGATAAGGAGTCGTCATTTAACCTTGCACCCTATCGAACTTCTCAAGCAAAAACAAAACTCTTGCATTGTTTCATAGTAACTAGGGTCAGGAGGGACCCGAACAGATCATCTGGCCTGACCCCATTCTTAGTAAATGGAAAAGGGAAGCGGCTTTTTACTTCTTCTTTCAGGGGTTCAGAGATTTACGTGTTGGCTGCTCTGGTCTAGACTTTTAGAAGGCCAAAGTGTTCACATACCCCACCCCATTCCCCTCCCAGTCTGCTCTTTGCAGCCCATTTTCTGTTTTTGTGGGTAGCAAAGGAAGGTTTTGAAACCTGACAAAGCCGAGGGGCTCAACCCCAAGTCAGACAGACAGACAACCTTTGAAAAGCCAACGCCGCAGCTACATGTCTGAATGAGCTGAGAGGAGTTATGTTTCAACTGACACAGCTGGTAAAGCTTTTTATTTCGGGCTGAGATCAGCATTGTGGTGACAGAATTGCATGTGCTAGACAAGGGGAAAAGGTGTTTAGAAATTATTGCTCTGGAGTTTTTCTTTCAAATGTATGTTTCTGAGAAAACTTTTCTCACAGCAGAGTGAACGATAGCATGAGCAGGCCATGCTCAAGTGCAAGAGACACATGAGTTAACGTATGTTTCTCCTTCTCTTCTGCTGGGACATTCCTCAGGGCAAAATAAGCAGGCAGATATCTGGGAAATGGGAGTGAGTTAGTGCCTTCTGTGCTGTGAGGCCCTTCGTTTGTTGCTGAATGTTCATAAAGCACTTTGGGGATCCTTGGAGTAAAGGATCCCGAGAGGGGCCAACTGGGGTTTTATGAACCTTATTTAATGAGGAGTAAGTTCCTCTCTGAAAGGGCTGGTGAAAGATACAGATGCTGGAAGCTAGGGAGAAAACTTTTCCATTCTCTGCAAAAGCTGTTTCATCTCCTGCTCTGTTAAGGGATTTTAAACGTAGATGAATGGCTCCAGTGCCTAATAATTGCCTATGTGAGGGGGAGCAGGCTTTCAGGGCATTTGTGATTAGCACTCCACAATACTACTACAAAGTGCTCAGCCAACATGTACTAAATAGGGCTTATTCTGTGCAGCTGGGGTTCAGTCACAAAACAAGTGCAAGCAGAAGGCAGCACACAGGTGTGTTTTACAAGCATGGCTGGACCTTTCACTTGCTGATCCAAACACCAGTATCAAAGGATTAGCAAAACAGGTACATTTTAGTTCCCAAGAGCTGACCTTTCTGATACTAGCACTGACGTACAAGAAAGAGCGAACAGCAGGGCTGTGGGGGAGAGAGGGGAAACAGGGTCTAAAACAAGTGATATCTGTGACAAGGTGATGTGCTGTTTAAATCCCTGCAGTGAGCACATTCAGATACGTTTTTTCCAGATGCTTCAGAGGATGATGGCATCTCCGGGTAGGTAGCCTGGGATGTGGAGAAGGATGCAGATATCTCCCTTGGAAGTTTTCAGGCATGTTCCAGAGGGATCTTATGATGATGAGTTCCTGCAGTTGCTGCTAGATAGATAGAGGCACTGCTCAAATATCCTTACAGTAACTTGCAGCATTTTGTGGAAGTATAATTTCATGAGTAAATCATTGAACCCCAACTAGGAAATCCACATCACACCAGGTTAGCTGTATCTCCGCAGCAAGGCTGAAACAGGCAGTTGAGTCAGTGATCTGCGAGCAGAGTGCAGATAGATTGTCTGGTGGGATCTCCAGTCCTGCATCAGTCATCTTAAAGCCACGATTGAAAAGATGAAGTCCCTCCTGTGCCTTCTCTCTCTAATAAGTAAGTGAGCATTATTTCTCTTTTTCCCCCACCTATAAAGTAGAAAAGAAAAGCCATGCACTGATTCTGAGCACTCCTGGTTCTCACTCAGCGTGGATGAGTACGTACTTTATATGTGCAGCGCTGATGTTAAGAGCCACAGCATTCGCTTTTTGTTTTTAGGACTCTTCAGGGGTTGGGGATTTGTCCTGGGTGCCCTGTGTACAAGTCCTTGCTTCAAGACTTCTCATTCTAGTGCTTCAGCAAAATTAGCCAATGTGATTCCTGCAGCTTATCTTAGTGTGTGACAGTTCTTGCCATTTTATGGAAAAAGTAAATGCTGGTAGTATCCACAGGGCTCAGTCACTATAAATGGGACAGCTGCTCAAATCCCTGATTAATGAGGGTCATATAAGTGCCTCAGCAGACAGACAGGCAGACAGATGCACTGCACTGCTATGTATAATGAATCAACCGAGGCTATATCTGGGTCAAGTTTTGCTTTCAAACTGCACCAGTAAAAATCTACATTGAGTTAGTGGAAGTATCTCTCTGCTTGTATGGCCATTAGCTAAGAGAAGTCTATGTTCGTGAAATCTTTGTCTTTCTTTATGTTCATGAAATCCCCCCTTTTTCCTACCCTTTCCGATTCATTCTGGGCCAGTCAGTGAAGACTTTCAGCAGTTTGTTGCCCACAGGGTTTGGCCTATTACGTACGCTAAAATATTCAGGACAAAAGGAGAACTTTTTTTTCTCTCAGTCCTTTTGTTTGGAAAATGCAGTCAATGTAAAATAAGATGCAAACGGGAATTAGGAAATTAACTTCTAAATCCTGGACATGGGACGATAAATATAAATGAAGACAAGAAGTGGTTTAAAAATCTGTTTTTTATAGAATTTTGACAAAAGGTCAGGATTTCAGAGACTATAAAACCTGACGTTATTGAGAGAGCTGGAAAGCAGTGCTTAAAAAAATTAAGGTTGCCTGACACTAGGGAGACCCCACTTTGTATTGCGAATTGTTTTGCGAGAGGCCAGATGAGGGGACTCATCATCTGCAGCCCTTTGGCTAACACACACACCTCCATATATGCAGCACAACTATGCAGAGAACTTTGCATAATTTCTGGACCATCCCGGCTGAAATATCCCCCTTACACTATTGTAACTGTTTTGCCAAGCTTTAACCAATCGGGCAGAATTTTTCCATGCCTGTCTGCCTAGGGCTGATTTTATTTTTCAAAACCTTTCAGCAAAATTATTCCAAATTCTCAAAATGTACGAGGAAGAAATAAATGACAAAAAAATGCTGCTTTCCTCATGGTGCTTAGCAGCCACTTAATTGAGAATCTGTTGCACTTTTGTGCTTTGGAGCAGGAGCTTGGCATTGGCAGAGATGGCATGTTGGCTTCAAGGGAGTGCCTTGCAGAGGTAACCTTAAGTCTGACGTATCCTAGCTTTTGACTGCTTGGCTTTGCCACAATAACGTTCTTTAAATATAGTTTTTTACATGTGCAATATTAAATGGCATGAATCTGAAGTAGTTTTCATAGGACAGCCATGGAAGGGGAGTGTATTGTCCATTTGTGCTGGCAGAGACCTCTGACGTGGGATAAAATACTCAATCTCAAAGTTGACATAAGCAACTTTCAGTCTATTAAACATGCAACTGTTGTGTGGGGATTTTTACAGTACCAGCTAAAATTCCCTAGACTCTCTCCTGTCTTGAGGTAGCCTATGTAAGGCTGAACTAAAATGAGGGGCTGAAGTGGAGGGGGGTTGTACTCTCTGCTCATCTGAGCACACAGAAGCTCTGCTCTCGCACTTT